TGAGGAGGGAAAATATCAACATGAGTTTGGAGCATCTTGTAATGCCAAAAAGTAAAGAAGGGTTCAGAAAAAAAACACCACCACCCAAAACTGCACACACACAGAAAGCCAAACAAAAACACCACAATGTGTTCAAAGGGACACAAGATGTGACTTTAAAACTTCACACTTTGGATTGTAATCCAAAATATAAAATAAATATCCATGACTCTGTACTGATATAAATGATTGCATAAATCAATAAATGAGGGAGAAGAGACCAATCTCCCATGCAGAAGAATTTTAAAAATGCATGTAGATGCTGCACTTTTAACAAGGTAGAGAGAAACTCCATACTTTTCAAGTATGAGCTGTGTGTGCACAGCCTGTTCCTGCCAAAGAGTACAATATAAGGAGGAGGGAAAAATGAGCATTTACTGCAAAAAAAACCCCCCACAAAAAACCTAATATAACCTCAACCAAGTGGTTAAACTTAAAATCAACAATGTAAATCGTGTCAATAATATATACTCTTAATATGTTGTGATAACAATGGCTCTTTACTTCTGTACTCTTCCACCACCCCAGTCTACGAATGGGTACAAGATCAGACATCCTACAAAATACCTGACCAGTGCTGTTCAAAACTGCCAGGGTCATCAAAAACCAAGTCTGAAAACCTGTCACAGCCAAGAGGCGCCTACATGACTACTGAATGCAATGTGGTATCCTGGATGGAACCCTGGAACAATAAGGACTTGGGTTAAAAACTAAAGATATCTGAATAAAGCACGGACTTCAGTTAATTAAAAGGTACCAAGAGTGGTTCATTAATTTGACAAATGGACTATACAAATGTGATATTAACAACAGGGGAAACTGGATGTCAACTCCATGAGAGCTCTGTACTATCTCCACAAGTTTTCTGTAAATCTAAAACTGAAATTTAAAAAATTATCTAATGGGTAGCTCAGTGGATTGAGCGTGGGCTGTGAATCAAAGCGTAGCAGGTTCAATTGCCAGTCAGGGCACATGTCTGGGATGCAGGCCACAGCCCCCAGCAACCGCACATTGATGTTTCTCTCTCTCTCTCTTCCTCCCTCCCTTCCCTCTCTAAAAATAAATAAATAAAATCTTAAAAAAATGTGTAATAGAAATAAGAAGTAAATTGTAATATTTAATATAAAGGTTAACATTACGACTCTCAGATTGGTCCAGTGTAACCCAGCCGCCCTTATTTACAGTACGTGTGGTGTCCTGAGGAGATGAAGGGGTCTGTGTGCAGAGGAGCTGACAGCAGAGGCCTCCTTCCAGCACCCTGCTATGCACTGCAATGCACATGCCAGCCCAATGGAGTAGTTCACTTAAACTCACCCTCGCAAACATACATAAATGGTTTAAAATATTTCAGGTAGAACACAGTATTAATAATGTACAGAGCAAAAGTGATATTTCCTCTACTCCTAGTATGAATTCTTTATCAGTCAAAATATGAGGTTAAAAACAAAGAAGTGTTTCACGCTGGCTGGTGTAGCTCAGTGGAGTGAGCGCAGGCTGCGAACCAAAGTGTCGCAGGTTCGATTCCCAGTCAGGGTACATGCCTGGGTTGTAGGCCATGACCCCCAGCAACCGCACGTTGATGCTTCTCTCCCTCCCTCTTTCTCCCTCCTTTCCCTGTCTAAAATAAATAAATAAATAAATCTTTAAAAACAAAAGAAGTTTTTAACTAATATGATCTAACAAAAAGTAGACCAAAAAGTTTCAAAATTATCAAGAGGCCAATAGGCCCTTAGTGGATTTTTATATGTAATGAATAAACAAAAGTTAGATACATATATAAAATATGTATTTTTAACTAGTAAAAAACTAAGAAGAGATGATGAATTTATAACCACTATTATTAACAATGTACCCCAACCTAAATGTATGCTTCAAGATAATAGCTAATGATATTCTGAGGCCTTCATATTATCACAATATATATCCAGATTATAAATATAAATCTTTATCATTTTTAGTGATGTTTAAAGTCATATTATACCCAATCTAGTATTTTATGACACTTAACAAAAAGTATGACAAATTTGTAGAAGCCTTTATAGATGTTTACCTGTCTGCTTACATGGACTTGTTGGATTATGTTTTGAAAATGAAATATTGAATACATGAAAGAGATATTCTCCATATATGCTCAAGACCAAATGACTTCATAAATGAAAATAATGTTTTAGTTAAAATTATGAAAGTGTAACACTGACAGAGCAGTCACTAAATCAGAATAAAGTGACTCTGAGGTATGCTTTAAGGGTTAGCATTGCACATGAAATTCATTTTGTCCATCATTCATAGGCAAGCAGTTGTAGAAAAGAAGATGAATCTAAAAACATACAAAGTGCTACAGGACATTGCTGATGTGGTTAATTTCATAGCATCAAGGCCTTTAATAAATAGAAAAATACTTACTATAATGAGATGTGTAGCAACTACAGGGCAGTATTTAAGTGACTTAGCTCCAGAACTGAAATGCATGAGCTAGAATACTGGCAATGAATTTAGTAGCTGAGACCTTAGACATGTTACTAATCTTAGTTATTATCACGTGTAGAATAGTGATGATAATAGTCTCTATCTCACAGAATTGGTAGAGGTATTATAAGAGATATTTCATTACAGTCTTTAGAAAAATGCTTGGCACATAGAAAGTATTCACTAAATGTTAGCTATTACTGGCCATCATCATGGGAGTAGTCATGAAAATTTTAATATATTTTATTGATTATGCTATTACAGTTGTCCCATTTCCCCCCCTTCATTTCCCTCCACCCTGCACACCCTCTTCCACCCACATCCCCCCCTTAGTCATGTCCATGTGTCATAAGTTCTTTAGCTTCTACATTTCCCATACTATTCTTACCCTCCCCCCTATTTTCTACCTAGCATCTATGCTACTTATTCTCTGTACCTTTTCCCTCTCTCTCTTCCTCCCACTCCCCTGTTGCTAACCCTCCATGTGATCTCCATTTTTGTAGTTCTGTTCCTGTCCTAGTGTTTTGTTTAGTTTGTTTTTGTTTTTGTTTTAGGTGGGGTTGTTAATAATTGTGAGTTTGCTGTTATTTTACTGTACATGTTTTTTATCTTCTTTTTCTTAGATAAGTCCCTTTAACATTTCATAAAATAAGGGCTTGGTGATGATGAACTCCTTTAACTTGACCTCATCTGAGAAGCACTTTAATCTGCCCTTCCATTCTAAATGAAAGCTTTGCTGGATAGAGCAATCTTGGGATATAGGTCCTTGCCTTTGATGACTTGGAATACTTCTTGCCAGCCCCTTCTTCCCTGCAAAGTCTCTTTTGAGAAATCAGCTGTCAGTCTGATGGAACGCCTTTGTAAGTTACTGTCTCCTTCTCTCTTGCTGCTTCTAGGATTCTCTCCTTCATTTTTACCTTGGCTAGTGTCATTATGATGTGCCTTGGAGTGTTCCTCCTTGGGTCCAACTTCTTTGGGATTCTCCTAGCTTCCTGGACTTCCTGGAAGTCTATTTCCTTTGCCAGATTGGGGAAGTTCTCCTTTATTATTTGTTCAAATAACTTTTCCACTGATTGCTCTTCCTCTTCTCCTTCTGGTACCCCTATAATTCAGATATTGGAACATTTCAAGATGTCCTGGAGGTTCCTAAGCCTCTTCTCATTTTTTTGAATTCTTATTTCTTCAATCTTTTCTGTTTGGTTGTTTCTTTCTTCCCTCTGGTCCACTCCATTAATTTGAGTCCCAGTTTTTTTCCCATCACTATTGGTTCTCTGTGCATTTTTCTTCATTTCACTTAGCGTAGCCTTCATTTTTTCATGTGATTTGCGACCAAATTCAACCAATTCTGTGAGCATCCTGATCACCAGAGCTTTGAACTGTGCATCTGATAGGTTGGCTATCTCTTGGTCGCTTAGTTGTATTTGCTGTGGGGCTTTGATCTGTTCTTCCATTTGGGCCATTTTTTTTGTCTTGTCACACCTGTTATGTATGAGGGGCAGAGCCTTAGGTGTTCACCAGGGCGGGGCAACCCAGTTGCTGGGTTGTGACGCTGTATGTGGGGGGCAGGGTCTGAGATGAAACAATGGTGCTTGCTCTGCTCTCTGTCGGATTTCAGTCCCTTCTGCCACTTCCCCCAAGCAAACGGCCTTTCTGGTGCTAATTCCCGTGTGGGTGGGCTTGTGCACATTCTATGACTCCATGGGTCTCTCCAATGAACTCTGCTGTGAGGCTGGGAGTCTCTCCCTGTGCCTCAACCCCAACAGGTGTTTTCAATCAGTGCCCTGAGGCTCTATTTCCTGGCACTGGGACCCTGGGACCACCGGTCAGCCATCTGCCTTGCACGCAGTGCCTCGCTTCACAACTGCCGCCTCACTGGGTCTGCCCATTACCACCAGGGGCCCGGGGTCTGCCAGCTGCCGCCTGTGTGCCCAGGGTCCCCATGCTGTGGTCTTGCGTGTCCAGGGTGCCTTGCATGCCCGGTGCCACCACTTTTTGTGTGGTGAACCCTTTCCTCCCAGCTGACTGACTCCACCCTTCCTACCCATCTGGATGAATGTGTCTATTTTAACTCCTTGGTTGTCCAACTTCCATACAGTTCAATTTTCTGTCAGCTCTGGTTGTTATCTTGTTTCTAAATTGTTGCTGTCTTTATTTTGGTTATGCAAGGAGGTACAGTGTGTCTATCTATGCCTCCATCTTGGTTGGAGTCGGAAGTCATGAAAATCTTTTACATTACAATGAAATTCATTACTAATCTTTTGGCAGAGAACTTAAAAGTTATCAAACTTAGCAATGAATTACACATTTTCTTTTACAAATAAATAAGACTTCCAAATTTGCTGGCCTGTTCTGGGATATTTTATAAAAACTGAGTGGTCTTTGAGAATATATTTCATCAACATTACCTGCTTACTCAGTTAAAGATTATATTGATAGCGTTGGCCACAAACAGCTAACAGAAAGCACTTCATCAGAACTTACAAATAGTAACATACCCTCAAATCAGGAGAAAAGTTGTCTGCAGAAGTCGAAATGGAATCCGATGACACGACAGAAGCTGATTTTGAATGCACTGAATTCTCTGAATGAGAAGTAGAAGCGCTACAAAATAAAAAGCATAGTATGTTGAAAAAAGAGGGGCTTTTAAAAACCACTTTCAGAAATTTTAATTATAACTCCATTATTTAACAAAACTTCCACTGTCAACTAGCCATACTTTACCCATCCAAACATATCTCCAAATACTGATAAACTGCAAACTCTGTATTCCTGCACATTTAAGTATTCTTACCATCAACAATCCTTCTGGACAGACTTCCCCAGTACTTATGAATATACTCCCAGCTAAATTCTTTATCCAACTTATCCATTCTTTTGTTAAGTGAACATTCACTGAATGGCCCAATGTGAAAACCACTACATGAGGCACTATGATCTGGAGATAAATATAATATAATCCTCATGTTCACAAAGCTCCCAGGTATGTAGCTGAGACAGATAATAAATGGCAATGTAATAATGACTATGACTATAGAGAGAGTTAGATAGATAGATAGATAGAGAACACACACTCTACAGAAGAAAAGGAAGCACCTAACTCTACCTAGGAAATTCAGGGAAGACTTCACAGCGGAGAGGATATTTCAATTGAGTCTTGAAAGAGGAAATTGCCAGGCTGACAAACAAGTAAGGGAATTTCAAAAACAATCGAACAAAAGGCACTACAAAGTTACAGAATTATCATAGAGCATAGAACATTTGAGAAACTACAAGTAGTTCAACAGGGCAGATAAGGAGAAGAGCAGAAAATAAAGATGGAAAGACAAGTCTATCATTGTACTTTATGCCTTTCTACCACATCAAATTCTGTAAGTTTAACATGCCTATCTTAAATATCCACTTCTTCCATTATACTAAGTAAACACACTGTACAATTACTTTTACTATCTTAAATTCCTATAGAACTTCCAATACCTGGTCACATACTGCTTTTATTGTTTATTGATCTCAGGTATATGTATTTTGTGTCACTGACTAAATTTTAAATATCCCAATAGAAAGGCAGTCTTTATTTTCCACAAAATCAACTTTAATGTCTGTGTATACTGTTAACATGTATTATGTTTGCTAAACTCAAAATCACAGTAACAATATATCTATGTCAAAACTGAATGATTTACATCATTTCCTTTTATCAGTAAAAAAAGTTAAAACTATTTAATATAAGAAAAACCAATGGTGAAAAAATCTCAAGACACTTTGAATTGAAGCTTAAAGTATTTTTCTAAAGCTTCATTTCCAATATATTAAGTCTCCCTCACAACAAAAGTCAAATATTTTTCATTAGATATTGATGAAATAATCCATCTTGAGGTTATGATAACATTTAAGAACCACATTTTTATTTTCAAATTGGTTCACCATAAACCTGCCTATAACAATGATGGAATTATTTATATAATGTGAAATCATCTCCCCCAAAAGAGGGGATATGATTTTCCCCTCTTGTCACTTTATTTTTGTTATCTTTCATCTCTGACATACAATTAATAAATAAAAATTGTATTTTAAGGTGTATGTTTTGATAAATGTATAAATGAATATTGTGAAATGATTACCACAATCAAGGTAATTAAAGTATCCATCACCTAACAGTCATCTTTTGTGTGTGTGGGGGAGGGGTTAGAATTTGAGACCTACTCTCTTGGCAATATAGTGATGTTAACTATAGTCACCATGCTGTAGGTTAGGTCCCCAGAACTCATTCACTTTATATCTGAAAATTTGTCCCTTTTGATCAATGTCTCCCCTTCTCCCCCTTATCAGATACATGTCACAAACTGAATGATTTACATCATTTTTACATCATTTAAAAATATTCTCTCCCATTCTGTAGGACACCTTTTCATTTTGTTGATTGTTTACTTTGTTGTGGGGAAAATTCTTTAAAAAATTTTTATTGTATTTTTTTTTCCATTCCCATTTAGCCCCTTTATAGCCCCCTTCTCCCCGGAATCACCACACTGTTGTCCACGTCCATGAGTCTTTTCTGTGGAGAAGCTTTTAGTCTGATGTAGTCTCACTAGTTTATTTTGCTTTTGTTGCCAGTGCTGGTGGGGTCAAATCCAAGAAACCATCCTCAAGACCAATGCCAAGAAGGTTTCCCCCATGTTTTCCTCTAGGGGCTTTATAGTTTCAAGTTCCACATTTAAATGTTTAACACATTTTGGCATTTTGTGTTGATTTTTGTGTATGATGTAATATAAGGGTCCACTTTCATTCTTTTGTATGTAGATATACACTTATCTATCAACACCATTTCTTTTATTTTTTTTCCCCCACTGTAGAAAATCCTCAAGGGGATCCCTTATCTCATTCTCCTTCTACTTCATAAGGTAGCATTTCAACCCGTAAAAGTTGTTTCTTCCAGTGTAGCCAATAGCTTGGAACGTCACCCCATCCTAATGCCACTGTGTAAATGGTCCCTGGGCAGTCCGAGGGTCATGGGATCGCCAGGCCTGCATGAGATGGTTCCAGCACCCCACTCGGCAGGCTTCCCTGGGATCCCACACCCTCATTCCTATCAATGATCAGTGAAGAAATAGATTGTATTTCTATTCACTTTTTCAAAGTTCAGACCTATCTTATTTATATATCAAGAAAATTTTCTCGAGTACTAATGTGTTAAAAAAGTATAATAACGTGTTTACCAGTTTCCTATAGTTCAAATGCCTGACATTAATCTTTTCCCTACCTCTAAAATTCCTTTCTTTTTCACCTTAATTTTCTTAATAAATTCTTACTGTAAAAAAAAACAACTAAAAGATGTGTTTGTTATGCATATTAGCAGGTCAATACAGAAAAATGCACAGAGGTTTTATTATAACACTTAAAGTGATAGGTGAGAGTACTGAGTTGGCCCAAAAGTTTGTTTTTTTCTGTACAATGGCTCTAAAATTGCTTAATTGTCTTTAACTTCATTCAAAACAATTTTGTTACATTGTATTGTGATAGCTGTCATATCAGTGTGCATTTTTTAAAAAACCATCAAAATTGGTGAATTTTTGTGCAGCTATGTTAATATTGAAGGTGGAAAAAAACACAACATCTTATGCTTTATTATTTCAAGAAAGGTAAAAATGCAACTAAAATGCAAAAAAAAAAAAAAGATTTGTGCAGTATGGATAAGGTACTGTGACTGATCGAACATGTCAAAAGTGGTTTGCAAACTTTCTTGGTACTATTAACATTTTGGTCAAATAATTCTTTGCTTCCTCTTACACACTGGAAGATGTTTAGCAGCACCCAGGCCTCTACCCAAGGGACGCCAATATTGGGAGATAGCCAACATGTTCAAAATATCCAAATCAATAAAGTTACTGATGAAAATGAAAAATGTATTTTTTATTTTGCAGGAAAAAACTAAACAGACTTTTTGGCCAACTCAACACAAAGTCAAGAAGGAAGAATCTGAACTATTAAGAGCTGTTCTGAAATAAGCCTATGTACAATGATACTACTGTAGCTTCATTAGAATTTTCCTTCACCAACTATTCAAGTGGTGTAAAAAATTTGCAGTTAAAATACATAGCAGTCACTCTATATATACTGCACCCCCAACCCACCCAACTTCTGAATAGGGCTTTTTCAAATTTTATGCCCTTTTAGTTTAAATTTAATGGAAAAAGCTGTTTTAGCAATGTATCCCCATAGAACATTTCAAATTACCAAGATTTTAATGTGCCTGGAGAGAAATCTTACTGAAAGAATAGCAATAACTATTTCCCAGTAAATATTGAGTGGAAACCAATTTTAACCCCCATCTGAGGTTATACACTTGCTATTTTGGAGAACACTAGTGCTAGAAATGTCTCATTTATAAATGAGACGATTGTACCAACCATCCAAGACAATAAAAGAACACCTATAATGACAAGTCTGCCATATCATGGTGAGTGTTTATCAAAGTTTATCATGATTTTTTGTGAGATCTTCCCCAAAATTGGTATTCTGGCACCAACTATATTCCAGTTTTCCAGTATCTACTTAGTTAGCTTTTTATCCCTGGTTTTGTCTGACTTGTACTCCAGGTGCCTGGCCTCAGCCTGTGACTGGGCATAGTATTGAGGGAGGATCAGTGACAAATCTCATCTCTGTCCAATGTCCCATCCTTGTTCAGATCCATGAATTCATTAAACTGCTCCTGTTCTGACAAAACCCAGTGTGGCTTAGGGGCATTCTCCTCACGGGAAAACATACCGGCAACATACTCATCTTGATCCACAAACCTATTCCCATTCTTGTCATTGACCTCTAGAGTTCCCCAAACCATAATTTCCCTCATATGCTCAAACTCCTCAAGGTGCAGAAAGGCAGTGAACTCCTACCCAGGGGCTGTCTGGTCACCATGGAGGTCTATAGCTTTGAACCTTCTCTCATCATGTGGCAGCGTCCTTTTGAAGGTGTGGCGATCTGAAGAATCATTCAACTCTGCAGGATTACTAGGTAGTAAGCATAGGTGGCTTGTTTGTATTCTTCCCAGGAAATGTTAGTCTTTTTCCCATCATAATCCTTCCAGGCTTTAGCAACATTATCACAAGTGTATCTTTTCTGCATCCATTTGATTCAGGTTTTCAGCTCCACACTGGGGACAAAGCCATCCCCATCGCTGTCAATTTGATTAACAATCTCCCTCAGCCTGTCCTTACTCTCCTCTAAAACGAGCAGATCAAAGGTTTTGGATTCCTCCTTGCCCAGCAAGGCCTCCTGGTTGTACTAAAGCTCTGGTTGTCCTTGGGCTCCTGGCAGACCACACCACAAGCTTATTGTGCATCGTGGTCTTGGCCCACAGTATCTGGGAAGTCAGCACCAGCGCCAGCAGCAGCCCCAGGCAGCAGGCAAGGCTACCACACCATGGTAGTCAGGAGGAAAGAGTAAGGGACAGTGTGGTGATTCAGGAATGGGGGCTAGGGCCTGTGAGGAGGGGATGAGCCACTCCCTCAGCCAGCACCCACCCAGTGCCAAAGTAGAAAGACACCGGTGAATGGATAGGGCAGCTGCCAGCTGCTGTATTCACTTGCACATTGGCCATGGGCTGCAGG